CCAGAGTTCCAAGGAACATCACTTTGAGAAATAATGCTGTAATTATCATTGGCTTTTGAAACTGGGCAGAATAATTGCATAGAGCACACTCTTCCATCTCTAACTATGTTCCCTGGTCTTCAGCCTCTTCACTGAGTATACTCAACTCTTTTTCAATGGGAGGTTGTTGCACGTACTGAATCTTCTCACCACCCTGAGACTCAGTTTCCAATTCTGCAAAATTCAGAGAATGGTAGTTCATTGCAAGGATTAAATGAAATGATATATTTCAAGGGTTTAGCATGAGTGGTGATTATATCATCAAACATAGTAACATATACATGATAAGCGCAGCTTTTATTATTATCTAAGACAGCAATGAATGTGTTTGTCTTGTAGACTGTAGAAACTATCTATGTTAGTCTAGGGGCATTGGAAGCAATGTATATTTATGTACTAGAAGAGAAATGGACAATCAACAGCAAAGGTGGGATTCAGATTAGACATAAGGTGAAACTTTCCAGGGATGGGGATTAGTAAACCCTGACTACTGCAATCATTCTTTCCTCCCCCAGAAGTCTGTATGAAGAAGTACAGAATCTTATAATGTGGATAGTTTAGCACAAAGTTTAAAGGCACAAGGACAGATGAATTGGTCTCATTATCATATTTCCTATTATCTCAGAAATTATTTGAATCATTCACTGCTCACTGGACATTTGGAAATGGGAACAGACTGTCAAGTGCCCTGATGTCCCTTGATGCTGGTAGATAATGATTAGTTTCATTATACTCAGAGAAGTCATGGGCACAGAGAGACTAAGAGTTTTACCTAAGGTAACACAGTAACATCAGTGAAGTGGGATGCAAACTGCTTCAGAATGAGGGATAGCTTTTTTCTGAGCTGGAGTGCTGCCTTTCTTGAATCACTAAGAGGAAAGACGCATAAAAATCTCTTAAGCTCATGTTCTAAAGTGCCTGGATTTGCAAATCCTGGAATCACTTCTCCCTGGTCTCCCCTTTTTCTAATGAAAGAACAATATCAATCAGGCAAAGAAGCCCCTTTTATACGTGGATGGCAAATTGATTTTATCTGGAATGCCAACTTCAGCCCATTAGTGGTAACTCTTTAAAGAATGTGTTGAGAAAGATTCTGAGGTCTTGCCTGAGAAAGACTGCTGTGATGGACTGACTGGTAGACCACTGGTTGTCTACCGACCACATGGGATAGGCAGCAATTATGCACATATCTGTATCCACTAACCAGCATATCAACAGGTCTCAACTTATGAGGTGGACTACTTGCTTGCACTTGGGAAAAAAGCAATTCCCTGAGGGAATGAGAACAAGATGGTATTTTTTTATGTTTATTTATTTTTTTGAGACAGAGATAGAGACAGAGTGTGAGCAGGGGAGGGGCAGAGAGAGAGGGAGACATAGAATCTGAAGCAGCTCCAGGCTCTGAGCTGTCATGACAGCACAGAGCCCCACATGGGGCTCGAACTCACAGACTAGGAGATCATGACTTGAGCCAAAGTCAGACACTTAATGGACTGAGCCACTTAGCACCCCTAATATGGTTATATTTGGTAAACTGTAGAAGAACTGAAGTTTATGTCATATTGGAGAAGCCATACCTACAGTCCAAGTCACATGTGGCACAATCGTTGCCTATGCCTGTGCTATGCTGGTGACAGAGATCACTAACGCATCATAGCACTCTTTCTGGGACAGAACTTCAGAATCTTTCTCAACACATTTTTTAGATAGCCACTACAAATTGGTTGGTGTTAGCACTGCAGACTTGATAAGGTAGAAAGTGAACAAAAAAGTTAGGCAAAGATGCCCCAGAATGTGAATTAGACTGTGTACCCCTTCAGGGAAGGGGCCATGTCTTATTTACCATGAACCCTCCATGCCCAGGATGGTAGGCATTGATGAATGTATTATTCATTCATATGATTATCATTCATAATCATTGATGAATGATTATTATCAAGCCAAAAATGGGCTGACTTATGATGCCAACAGGTAATGATTCCAACAGCAGCAGCAACAATAACTTCCTATTTAGTGGGCATTTGCTAGGAACTGGAACTGGGAATTGTGCTAAATCGTTTACAGGTAACATTTCAGCTAATCCTCACAAAAACTGTACAGCGTATGTGTTAGTATCTCCCTTTTGCAGATGGGGAAGCTGAGGCAGAGATTTGTAACTAACCCAAAGCCATCCAGCAAAACTGTGACAGAGCCAGCTTTCATACCCTAGTTCTCTCTGACTCTAGAGGCTGTGCTCTTAACAATGCAAATAATAACTTCCTTTGTCATAAACTATGTTCCATACACTGTTTTGTGCCCTGCACGTGCATTAAATCCTTTAATCCTTACATTTAAACACACAACATTTACACTTTATAGAACCTTCATCTTACTGATGAGGAAATTTAAGCACAGACATGTGAAGTCACTCCTCTGCAATCACATAGTTAGGAAAGGGCCAAACTGGAATTGGAACCCAAGCAGCCTGGCTTTCAGGCCCTGAATTTATCGCCCAAGACTCTCAATTTAGAAGCCTCACCACCATGTGTATCTGATAGTTTTGGAATGCCTGGTATCCCAAGGACCCCCAAGCAAAAACAGAAGCTATTTTTCACAGACATCCTTTGAATCTCGACACAGTCACTGTGGGTAAGTCACTTGGCCATCCTAAACCTCAACTTTTTCACCTTTAAAAGAGAGTAAAAGCAGCTTCCCTTCCCACCTCCTGCGGCAGTTCCAGAGTCAAAAGAGGCAATGTTATGCAAATGAAACTTTATCAGCATTCTGGGAACAGGCTGAGAGATGTTGATTGATCTTGTGGGGGTAGGATCCCAACTACATCTTCCCTGCGAGTGATTCAGTTCAGACCCCAAATGTCATGACTGAAGATGGTTTTAAATATCCCAGGCTACTTAAGGGGCCAGCCCTCGATGGCATTTAAAGTGACAGTCAACTTCAGGGTGACCAGTTGGGCCTGAGAGTAATAGCGGAGTGGGGGTTTGGGCTGGAGGGAGGGCAGGAGACCTGTAGAGCCTACTCTCTACTTTCCTCCACCTCCAAGCTCCCCAGCCAGAACCCCACCCGCGGGCTACCGCAACCCGCCTGAAGAAGCCGGCAAATGCATCACTAGTTATCGACCAGAAGGGGTCGCTGCAGAGCGAGCAGCGCTCTTAGTCTCCCTCGTAAACGGGCTCACAAATTTCCAAATACACACATAATCCAAAGCTATATAGGTTTCTGAATCCATACTCGGCTTCTCCAGGGTTCTTTTTTTCCTTCTTCTCTCCCATTTTATTCTCTTTGCCTTCCTTCTCCCCTTTCTCTCCCATTCCCCACCTGTTCCTTTCAAAGCATTTCTGAAGTTCACATGGGTGCCCAGGTCTCTTGGTCTCTGTCCTTATCAGCAAGAGGCATGGCTTTATCCCAGCTGTGGTTCAGATCTGGTGCCAGGCGCTTGGAGGTCTCTAGGACTCGGCAAGGCCTTCTTCCAGGAGTTTGCAGCCTGGGTAGTGGGAGTAGTAACTGCTGAGATTAAAGGACTCCAAGGGAGAGATGCTCCTAGGGGTCCTGCTACTGTCTCTTTTTCTTAATGAAAACCCTGGAGATGAAACTCAGGAAATTTTGCCCATACCTTCTCCTCTAAGGGTTTATTTGTGATTTTAAACTCTTACTTTCTGGGATTAGTGTTGAACCGGGATGAGGTAGAAGATGGGGAGAGAGACCTAAACGTAACTACCCCCCTGTAATCACGATTTCCCCCCAAATCCCTCTCCCTAAGCTCTTTACTTTTCCAAAAGGGACTTCTCTCCTGAGACAGGCTATTTAAATTTCTTAACATTTCTTAACCACTTTCCAGTGGTTGCAGCTGAATTCCCCAGGAGTGGATGGGATGGGGTGGGCTGGGGACACTCTTTCCTTCAGACGGGTTTGGCAGAGGAGACATTGGGCTGGCTGGCTGTGAGGCACAAAAGAAATCTTCCTTACAGCGCCGCATGCACAGATGTAACGCTGCGCCCCTCTGCGGGCGGGGACCCGGCTTGGCAGATGGCGAGAAGCCGAACTGGGGAGGGATTGTCCATCAAATGGCACTTTCTGAGTGGCGGGGATCTCGCGGCGTCCAGGCGCAAAGAGGAATACAAGGGACCTCCTTTGCTGGCCTAGGCAGTACCTCCCAGAAGTGAGGGGGTCAGGTTGGCTTGGGTAGATGGGTTAAGTTTTTTGTGTTTTTGTTTTTTTACTTCCCCCTTCAATAGAAGATCCGCTACAAGACTTGCGAAGGGGCTGAGAGGGGAGGTGGCCGGGCCCAGAGGGCACCTGCTGTGGGTGGCGAGGGGAGCAGGCTGGGAAGCAGGATCTCCTACACGGTTCAGTTCGGGGTGCCGGGATTGCTTCTCCGAGGGGTCAGCGCTGCAACTCCGTCGCCGCGGGGCCCTGGTGACAGGCACACGCCCCGCCCTTTCTCCTCCCGAGACCTGCGGGCTTTTGTTATGCAGATGGCGGCAGGAGGCTGTGCCTGAGGAGGAGGGAGTTGGTGGGGAGGAGGAGAGACGGAGAGGGGGGAGGAAAGTACAGCTCGCGCGACCAGCCTCCTCTTCCAACGTCACATTGTGCGAGAGACAAAACCCGGGCGCGCCTGAGCTCACACGCGCACGCACACACAGACGACCCTGCCGCCTCTTCTCTCCTGGCGCTGCCGAGGAAGCCAGCCCTGCCTTCCCTTCCTGGGGCGCGGAGGCTCAGCAGGCTCAGACCTCAGCCCAGAGACAGCACTGAAGGCGAAGAAAGGCGGTGGATAAGCCTGCTTTCTCCCCTGCCGGCCCGGGCTGAGGCGCCCCATCCCCCGCCCTGAACCCCGAGCTCTCCCACCCCACCCCTCTCGGTCTCACACGGACTGAGCCCGGAGCCCGGCGTGACCCTATTTGGAATCCACGTTTCAGCACTTCGGACAGCGCCCGGGCGCCCCGGGCCCCTTCGGCTTGGCTATGGCGAGCGTTCAGCAAGGCGAGAAGCAGCTTTTTGAGAAGTTCTGGCGAGGAACCTTTAAAGCTGTGGCCACCCCGCGTCCCGAGAGCATCATTGTCGCCAGTATCACAGCCCGCAAGCCGCTGCCAAGGTAATGACCTCCTTCTTAAGACGGAAGAGACCCTGATGATCCTTTCTTCTGGCCTGTGTGCCCCAGAGCCCTGAGGGGTGGATGCTGGTGGCTGGGCCAGGGCGCCTGTCTTTTCCCGTCACTACCCGGCATCTCCCGCTGGAACATGGGAACTAATTGCCTGTGTGAGGTGGAGGCTGGTGAGAAGGGACAGGGAGTCTTCAGGGGGAGCAACACTCAATGGTCTGCTGACCTGGCAGCTGCTATTTGAGAGGTTTTGCTTTCTTAGGGTGGGCGGTGTAGGTAGAGATAGGACTTAACTAAGAAACTTTTCTTGGTATCAGAGCTCAGAGGACAGGGGGGCAAAGGAATGGTGGATTCAGGGTGGTCGGGCGTGTTGTACAAGAAGAGAACATGAGGGCTGAACCAGCTTAAGCAGTGTTCAGAGGTAAGAGTACATTTTCATACTCAGCTCAGAAACTAGCGAGCTCTGAGCATTTTGACAAAAGCCCATATGCTGTTCCCTCAAATACACCCTAAACAGCACCCTCCTCCACGCCTTTCTGGCTGCCACCACTGCTGAATTCTCTCCTCTCCAGCATCCAAAACCAGTACCCTGAGCTCAAAAGTCAGGGAGGAGACTTCCAAGATCGTGAAGATGATCTTGGGAGAGTTTTATTTGGTTTTCAGAAAGGATCTGATTGCTTTGAACTCAAGGATGAGAGCAGACCCTTAGATGGTGAAAATAGTGTGATGGGAAGAATAAGGAAAGAAAAGAAAGGCAGAAAGAAGGAGAAGAGGATGTGGGGTGAAAGAGAGAGGAGGTTGGGGAGAACATTCCAAGACAGAGAAAACCCAATTCTTTTCCTAAAGCATTCAATTTAGAGGAGTTTGAAAATGAAGGAAGAAGGCTGTGCCCTCTGTCAGGGAAAATCAAGGCAGTATGAAAACTCATCTTTTGCTGGTGTTGGATGAGTGGTTCAGTGGGAGAAAAAGAAAGAAGTGGACCAGGGGAGACCACTTGGAGGATTTATCAATCCTGGCAGGCTACATTAGAGAGTAGATTGAAAACATGTCTGTGAAAGTGGTTCAGACAGAATGCCTGTTCTGGCACAACTGGATCTGAACTTTCCAGTGGGTGTGGGGTGAATGACGGGGAATCATATCTAAAGAAGCAAACTCAGACTGGAGAACTTTTCGTAGTCTGATAGGAACCTAGCTTATACAGGTCTTTAGAAAATTGGGTACTTCCTATTGGGAATGGGTGGACTAGAATCAGGATGTGGTAGGCTTCAAGCAGCAGCAGCAGCCAGTATTTGCAGGTGGGGGGGATGCCTTGTGACACAGACTGGAGAAAGGGAATCATAACACCAAATGCCATAAAAAAAAAAACCCTGGTTTTTCTCTGCTTGGAGAAAGGTTCCTTGTAAAGAGTTTTGACGTCAGCGGTTTTATTCCTGAGTTTTAGACATCCATTCCACCTTTGGAGTGAACCTATGCTGGCAAATCAGTTGCTGTGTTGGCCAAAGAATATGCCCTTTTAGAAGAAACTAAAGATAATTTCATTGAAAACTGCAAGTGTAACATTTGGTTCAGAGTCTTCCATATATTTAAGGGATGCAGGAAGAGGAGAGGAGATTCCTGGTGGTATTTTAATACAGAAAATACCTAAGTCCACCTGACCTGGCACCTCGCCTGTCTGTCTGTGACTGTCATGCCCCTTTCTTGGTCATATTCTCAATCATGTGAATTGCCCAAAGTCTTCTAGCCCTCATGCTCTCTGTAGCAAATCTCAATATCATGCATCTGAGACTCTTATCATAGCCAACCCTCCTCCCCCAGGTATCATTTTTCTCTAGGTATCTTTTAATGTCCTGTGTCTCCTTTCCCCCTGGAAACCACTCCTGGAGTGAAAGTCTGAGTGATAAGCCCTTAATTTATGTCATGTTGGGAAGGATCCCCTTCAATACTTCAGTAACAGGTGTGGCCTCTCTGTAGAATAGATTCATTTTACAGCTGTTACTCCTGGTCTGGGGTGGAAACTGAGCAGGGAGCATTTGTATCCAAGTCTTCATGGAAGGCTGGGTTTGAGTCGTCTTTTAACAGACTGTCTATAAAACCTGAATCATCCCCATTCTCATTGAAGCCAGCCATATCCAGCGAGGAGGTCAATTTCTACCTCCTTTCTAATGTTGCATGCTTACTTAACAGTGGAAGTACCATGTTTCCAAAGCTGAGTTCTCAGGAAGGAAAGGGACAGAGACACTGGCATAGCATCAGCTGAGCCCCAGTGGCTTCCTCTAGAGGCAAGCTAGGGACTTGGTCTCATCAGAAATGTCTTTTAGTTTCATGAATCAAGCCCAGCACATAGCAGATCTGTAGGGAGACGGGGGAAGGGGTTTGATGAAGCACCAGACAGTTCTGTTGGTTACACACTTAATACGTGTTTATAGATGAGGGTTACTCTTCATCTGAATGGACTTCCCCAGGATATTTTAAGTCTATCTCTAAAGATAATTTAGTACCAGGATAGAAGCTTACATTCAATTGGTTGATTTCATAGCACTATGCATACATCATACAATCATACTCCAAGCAAAACCTCCCCTTATCTCCCCCTCCACTCCCCCCCCCCTTCATGAGGCATACTTGATGAGGCAATAGCTTTATATGTATCAAATTGCAAGCAGATGTCTGACTCAAATGTCAGAACAGTATAGCAGAGTGGGAGGCAGTATATCATAGTGGTTAAGAGCTCAGACTTGAATTTCAGACAAACCTGGATTCCTATTCTGGCTCTTCCGTTTAGCTGAGTGTCTCAGACAAGTTTCTTTACCTTGCTGAGTCTGTTTTGTCAGCTGGAAAACAGAAATAATAATAGTAGCCATCTCAGACATTGAGTTACGATGACTGAGTCAGGTAAAACACTTCCCACAGTGTATGGTGCATAGTGATTACTTAATAGACATTGCTTCTAAAACAAACAGCTCAGAGTTTATAATGGCCAAAGGAAATGAACATTTCCTTTTAGTATTGTGTTCTTTAGGCCTACCCATTTCTCCCCCAAATAATGCTGGCAGTAAACATTGTGGGATTTCAGCTCCTGACAGGCAATGCATTGACAGAGAATTAACACACAGGAGGTGGGTTGGGAGTGGTCCCACAATTCTCTTCCCTGAGGGAAGGTTAGCTGCTTTCTGATAGGACTTTTTTAGCTCACGAGTGGAGGACTGCTGAATTGTCTAGATTCAGAATGGATTTGGTAGAACATCACAAAGAGTATTCTTTTCATTGGTGTAGCGATGACCAGGTACTATTGCCAATCTAAATAAGGCTCAAACTCCTTGAAAATTACAGTTTGAATCCCTAGTTCCAAAATAATGTATTATTCATATCAAGAGTGAAGAGGTTTGCTGTGAGGGGTTATTCCAGGATGGAAGATTAACAAGGGAAACCAGAACAGGACGTAGGGTCGCCATAGTGAAGCCTCACCCTATCCCAGTTGGAAGACAGTCAGCATGAATCAGTAAGACACTTGGAGAATAAGAGACCCCTCTTTTGTCTCCACCAAAGAAGTGTAGTCATTTTTCTTGACATTAATTAGTTCTCTTTGTTAATTATTTGGTCCAGAAAAGTTTGTACCAAAAAGTTTAGGCTCAAGGTGGAAAACTTAAGTGTTTGAGGCCAGTTCCAACTGTAATAATCATATCACGGAAAGGTAGCTGAGGACTTAATGAGTGAGTAAAAAAAAAAAAAAAACATTTGAAATTAGCATATCAATTGTTTGTACATGTAGGAGTGTTTGTAAAGGGCTAGAAAGGCGGCCCTCTTAGGCAGAATAAGCAATTCCCTTTACTATTCTTTTGGCAAGCTATTAATTTTCTTCGAAAATCCTTTCTTTGCAGAATAGTCCAGAAGCAGACTTTAGCCCAGGTCTGTCTAAAGGATCATAAATTCCAAACTATTGGAGATTTTACTGCATAAAGAGAAAGATGGCCAAATTGTAAAGCAGGAAAAATGCCTTTGAACCATTTAATTCCAGACTCCCCCTTTGTGCCAAGAGATCAGTTAGCACATTTGTGCTGACTCTGTCCTGGGATACAGAGTGAGGGCCAGCTGGGAGGTGATTTCCTGACAGCCTGTGGTTAAAAATCAAGGTACCAAGTGTCGTGGAGAATGTTTGCCCTGGCAACGAATGATCGTTTTTCCCTGGAAAGGGAGTGTTATTGTTCAGGTCAAACCTTTCTCCTTCTGAAAGGTGAAATTTGCTGAATGGTATACAGGGGTCAGTGGGGGTGGGAGGGTTATTTCTGACATGGCTGTTTTCACTTGGCAACTGTGCTGCCTTAGAGACTTGGGCTGCAGTAGACATTGAATGAAAGTTGGATGCATTAATTGAATGAGTCCACGCGGTCCAAATCCAGTATCAGATTCGCTCTCTCCCAGCCCACCCCCACTCCTGACAGGCTGGGGATTCTGATCAACGCAGCCTAAGAGACACACACTTTGCAGATAGATTTGACTCTGACTAGTGTCAGAAGGAAGCTCTCTGGATATAGATGTCTGTCTGGCTGAGCGAGTAGACGTACCGGCTGGTGTGGGTACAGGAGGTTGGACTAAAGGCCACATGAAGTGTTTCCCAAGCCTACGTGACTCCACCCCAACTCCAGGCCACCAGAGAAAAAAGAGGCGGGAACACCCCTAAAGCCTGCCTCCTGTGATAAGGAAAAAAGCCGGGTCATGTGCCTTCTGCACTGTGAGCACCTCCAGCATGCCGCAGGGGCACAATAAATTTTTAAAAATATCCTTTCTTCCAGAGTGGCTGGATTTAACTTCCTGTGAGGTGGAAAGGCTTTCAGGGGCTTAACAAAACCAGAGTTTCTTAATTGCTTGTTACCAAGACTTGATCTGAGATGTGACAGAACATGGAACAGTTAAGAATTTGGGCTCCGAAGTCAGATCTGCTCAGGCTGAAATCCTGCAGTGCTCCTTCCTACCTTGGAATCTGCTAATCACTTCAG